GCCAATCAGCTCTGGTCTTTCTCCAGTTCCTCCCGTCAGCTCCGCCCCTCGGCACGCTTCTCTCCTCCTCCCCAGCTCCACCCCCGCAACGGCTCAGCCAATAATCCCCGGCCATGACCCCACCCCTCCAATCAGCTACGTCCCGCTTCCGCTCCGCCAATCGGCACCCTCGGCCTCCGCGCCCCGCCCTCTGCCCCCGGCGTCGCAGCTGGGGCGGCCGCGGCCCGCCAGAGGGCAATGCGGCGGGGGAGAAGGGGCAGGCCCCACCTCCTTTGTCCGCCCTGCCCTCCCATTGGCCGGAGTGGGGGGCAGGGGGCGGAGACCAGCGCAGGGGCGGAGACCAGCTCGGGGGCGGAGCGAGGCTTCTCGCACCTGGGTAAAGCGGCACGCGCGCTGCGGGGCAGGTGTGCGGGGCCGCGGTCGAGCTCGGGCTGCCAGGCCCCGGCTCGCCGGTGTCATGGACGGCCTGCGCCAGCGCTTCGAGCACTTTCTGGAACAAAGGAACTTGGCCGCCGAAGCGCTAAGGGCGCTCGAAGCCAAGACAGGTGTCGACAAGCGGTACTTAGCCACGGGTGAGCAGTCCGGGGCGCTCTGGGCTCCTGTCCCATTTCGCCGATGGGCACACTGAGGCCCTGGGGCAACGGGGTCCCGGGCCTGGCCCCTTCCGGCCGGCGTCTTCTGCAGGGTCCGGGCTCGGACGGTGGGGAGCACCCCCCTGGTGAGACAGATCCTGAGGGGTCATGGACCAGGACTTTGCGTCTGCCCGCAGCCCCTCCTCTGCCCCCGCCCTGCGACCTCTGGCTAGTGTCACTCCCTCTCTCGGGCCCAGTAGTACCTCCACTCCAGTCCTCAGGTCTGGAGACCGTTCGCTGCCCCCTCCGTCGTGGCCCTGGGTGAATTCCAGGCCAAAGTCCGGTTCTTCCAGTTGCTCGGGCCACCCTGGGGGAGGGGAGAGCGGCGGGTAGACAGCCAGTGCCCTGGGAGTCTTGCCACACCCCCGTCCCACAGGAACATCAGCCTGGAAGCAAGTGTAGAGATTTTTGCATCCCCCCCACCCCCCCTGCTCCCGGCCAGGAGGAGAAGGGTCCCTCCCATTCCCCTCCCCCCATTGTTTTTCTACCAGTCACCTCCCCTTGGCGTGCCGTGTCCCTCTCCCACCCTGAGCTTTGGCCCACTGTGCCTAGCTAGTTGAGCTGGGTTGTTTGACCCTGTGGTGGGGTTGGGCAAATATTGGCTGGGGGGCCATAGAGCCGGGAGCCAGCCCTTCTGACTGCTACCCCTCCAGTCCCCCTCCTCTTCCTCTTCCTCTTCCTCGGTGGCCTTGGATGCCCCCTGCCACTCTCCCAAACTGTCTAGTAAGTACTCCTTAAACGCTCCCTCCCCTCTTTTTCCATGTCCCAGGCCCCATGCCACCTCTTCCAGGAAGCCCCCTGGAGCGAATTCCAGGAACACTTTGTCCAGAAGTGGGGGGGGGGGTGTTGGGTGAGGACAGGGACACATGTACTGAGCACCTTCTGTGTGCAGATCCCAGCAGTCCACTTTCCTCCCATTTCCCCCAGCTGGGGAATCCGTGCCAGGCAGGGAAGGTCCACAGTTTACTCCCCCAGGCCTCCAGTGCCCAGGCCATGTCAGCCTAGCCAGGAACCTGTCCCTGGGAGCAGGCCCTGACTTCTCTGCTGACTTTCCACATCCTTGATACCCGTGGGCAGGGCTTTAGTCATAGAGCACTGGGGAGGG